ATCTTGTCTCCTTACTCCAGGAGTACAGAGTCGTAGTCCCAGTAGTTGTCTTCTTTCTCAGCATGGACCCTGCAAATTCTAGGTGGGCTTTTATTGTGCCTGGGTTTAGGAGAGGCTTCCTTCATGGGTGATACACATGCATGGTATTCCTCTACAGCAGTGTTTCTCAACTCCAGTCCTCATGGACCCCCAACAGGTCATTTTTTCAGATTTCCCTCAGATGAAACAGCTGTGGTAATTACTAAGGCAGTGATTGAAATGATCAAATCACCTGTGCAAAATAATGGAAATCCTGAAAACATGACCTGTTGGGGGTCCATGAGGACTGGAGTTGAGAAACACTGCTCTACATGTGTACGCTGTATTGTGTCATGAGAAACAATCATCTCAGTTTGGCTTTCTACTTCTTTAACTAATGGCAGTGAACTTGCACGGTGATTTTCTTCAACCCTTCTCATCAGAAGACACTCCTGTCGAGGTTGTTAACTTTTGTGGACAGCCTGAATGTTTTTGTGAGATGGTTGCAGTTCCATCTTTGTAAAATTTTTGTATCACTTTTGCTACAGTAGTCTGACTGATAAATAAAGCTTTCCTGATCTTCTTGTAGCCTTCACCTTTCTTGTGTAAAGAAATTATTTTCTTTCTCAGGACTTGTGACATATCTCTTCCATGTGGTGCCATTGCTGACAGCATGAAAAGGGGAGGGGTTTTCTTTGGTAAGTAAGCCCTTTTATAATCAACTGTCTGCTGGACACCTGTTTAACCTCCCTGGCGGTATGATTATTTCAGATTTTTGGTGCTGAAAGCGGTACCCATTTTTTTTGCATGGAAAAATGTATATTTTTTTTTATTGTAGGCTGTAATTTTTAGGAAAAACTCACTGAAATCTGTCCGAACAAGAGTCTAGTAAACATCCCGGGTATGATAAAATTTGAAACACAAAATCATAAATTATAATTTAATAAATAATCATAAAAATAATATAAAAATAATAAAAAATTTAATTCAATAATATAATCAAACCAAAAACACTGAAATGTGAAATAGAGCGCCAAGTTCGCACATTGCTGAGCTCAGTCGCAAAATCGTTTTCAGTGTCTGATGACGAATTTCCCCCACGAATCATTATCACTCTATTCTGCAAGTGGTTCTGATTTACTATCGCTGTTCTCTAGCTGATCTAAACCGCTTTTGACCTAAAGGGACACTTTTGGACGCCATGGACATTTCTCAGTTTCCAGGCAGAAAGAACAGACAAAATGCAGGCAGGGCGCAGGACAAAGCACTAGGGACAATATGTATGTGAAATTGGTTGAGACAGCAATGTTTTACTATGTAAAAATGTAAAAAAAAAAAAATGACATTTTTTAAAATTTTAAAATTTCCTGCCGCCGGCGGGCGGCGGCGCCCCGTACGTCCCGACGTCACAGGGACAGGACACAGAAGCCGGATGCCGGAATCGGCCGGAGGAGATGGCCGGGGACGCTGCAGGGGACACATCGTGGGAGCGCAGGGTAAGGTAAGTGAAGAACACATGCCAGAGCAGTGCCGCAGGGTAAGCCCGAGTGTAGCTCGGGGTTACCGCTTTTGGTACTGAAATGTTACCCCGAGCTACACTCGGGAATACCGCCAGGGAGGTTAATGAATAATTAGACTCACTTGTAGTTGAATTCTTGTTAACGGCTCATGTTAAACAACAAAGAAAAATTCCCAGCTCAACTTGCCAACCCGCCAAATTATCCTGTCTAACAGTTCAATTACTGTTCCCACTCTGATACTTACTACTACTGTGGATGTTTCACAGACATTATTTAATTGCTCAGTCTATGCCATGGATTATTCAAGTCAGGATTAAGGGGGCACACTTTAGTTTTTTGTCTTGGGTGCTACAGGACCATGTCCCCCACTGCCTCACAGCACTTTGCTGCGCACCTCTGGAGATTCGAGTGCTCTCTAGAGGGTGCTGCAGGTCAGGATACAGGACCTAAAAATGTCTTCCTAGCAGGGTAATTCAAATTGGAGGGATGGGAAAGGGTTAAGTGTTATTTACACAGTTAACATAAGAAATAACATAACAGTGTCCCTGTGCATTTAACTTTTATATACTGCACATATGTGGATGCATTACATGAATATATTAATATTATTAGCAAAATGAGAATTTTGTCTGGCTACTCCTCCATTTCAGAGTATCATAACTGGTGGGAGCATGTACAGACACAGCATGGCCCAAGTTCATGAATGTATGGGGGGGCACTAGGGTCGGTGGAACGTACCAGGGTTTAGTTCACACTGCATTTTTTTGTACGTTTTGGATTTTATCCTTTTTAACCATTACAAATTAAAGTACTATTGGAAATACTACACTATGGGATTATCCCTATTCTTTGCTCTGCACCGAGCACTTTAAATCCCCCAGTGATCCCTGGTGAATCTCCCAGTGCCTGGAACAGGCTGAACCATACATACTGGCTTATCTAACAACCTGTCACCTAAGGAAGGCCACCCACCCCAGGCTACACCCCAGACCACCCTTAGAAGGGACCCGTGACTGATCTACTATATATGATACAACGCGCTTGTTATTAGCGCATCTGGTGAGTGCTCATTTTATATATTTATTGGCACACATCTAAGGACTACTATCCACATACTGGGATTTAATTGCATCACCTCGAAATCCATTTTGATATTTTTAGGACATTATATGTTTTGAACGCATTTCACGTTTATGCATTTGGCATCAATAGAGTTATCCAGAGTTGGACTCAGGGGCGGACTGACCATTTGGAAACTCGGGCACTGCCCGAGGGCCCGGGGTCAGTAGGGGGCCCCATGAGATTCCCCTAGTACCTTTTTCATAGGCTGTTTTGAGTTTGGGCAAGGACACAGGGGCCCCATGATCCCTATTGCCGGGGGGCCCCATGAGTTTTCAGTCCGCCCCTGGTTGGACTTATCATCTTACAGATTTCATATTGTCATTACGCACTTATTGCTATAGTGTATGAATTGCACATGTTAAAAACGCACCCATCATATACGCATGTTTGAGCGCATTTCATGTTTATGCGTTTGATATCAATATTGTTACCCAGAATTGGATTTATCATCTTATGATTATATATGGTCATTACGCACTTATTGCTATAGTGTGGGAATTCATACGGTAAAAAACGCACCCATCATATATGTCCACTTTTCATGCGAATAGTCTGAGATTTATGCATCTATCCATCAATTTTAGAGCTACACTACCACTTTTTATCAAATTAGTTCACAGGAGATTCTCTGAACTGCACTGAAATTCTGAATGTTAACTGGAAGAAGTGGATAATACTGAGGGGCAGCCCAGTGATGAAGGTTTAATACTGGGGAAATGGTTTAATGCTGAGTAAGGGGGGGGGGGGGGGGCAAAACTGGGGAAGAGGGCTAATTCTGGGTAAAACTGTTTAATGCCGGGGGTTTTATACAAAGCTGTAAAAGAATTGTGTTTCTACGGGGGGAACCATGTACTGGGCAAGAAGTACAAGGATGAGGAAGGGTTTCTAATATTTGGGGGTGTGTATAATGCTGGGAAGGGGTCAAATGTTGGTGGGTAAATCCAGTGCTGAGGAAGGGGTCTAGGGAGAATTTTTTTTTCTTGTTTTTTACATGTATAGACCTCTTTAATAAAGCAAAATTATATATATTTTCAAATTAGATTATTCTGCTTGCATAATTGGAAATAATATGACACAAAGGACAGAGCATGCATGCACTGGAATACAAGTTACTTTGAATTCTATTTTCAAGTAGTTTCATCTTGCACCCTTAGTGCTACCACAGACATGTGGAAAGAGATAGGGGTATAACTGGCTTGAAGCACATTTGAGTGGTTGCAAAGGGCTAAGGTCTATTGGCTGCGCAGCCAATAAGATAAAGGAACTGATAGTTTGGGGAGAAAGTGGGAGTGTTATTCATTGAAGTTGGTTTAATTATTATTGAATTTATTTGCTGCTGCCTTGTACTGAGAGATGTAGTTCCACTGGAGTATGCATCTACTGGGACTTGTGCCTCTGCTAGGATGATTATCATACTGTACTGGAGATTCCATGTGTATATAAATATTAGAATTATTTTTACACATTATTATTGATAGTGGGTAGTGATTTCCCAAGTGCAATACACAGTTTTTGATGAGTACACATCAAACGTCAATCATGTATTCATGCAATAATTATAAGTCATTTTTGGTATATTAATGCTGGGTCATTCTAGCAAATATTTTGAGTTTATTTCAGAATATTAAACAAAACATCATGCTTTTGACATACATACTTTTTTATGGATTTTTTGACTAGTAAATTCTAATTTAACCATTACTGATTCCTCTTGAGCTACCAGAAAACAGTATTAAAATTGTACAGGTGCATTAAAGGAAAATTATAGTCAAGGTTTTTTTTGGATGTACTTCCCTGTAGGTCACGGGAGTGCAGTTCGTCCTGCACTCCTGTGACCCATTTTCAGCTGACATCGGGCTACCGTCTGCTGTTGGCTGACATCACTCAGCCGGTCCAGAATCTGAAAAGATCTCGACCATATGGTTGGGATGCACCCGAAGCCTGAGCAGACACCTGGCTCAGCCTCTCAGGTATCCACCAAGAGCCTGAGCCAGCCACTCCCACCCCTCCACAGCCCAGCACTACAGTGAGCGCTGAAGGGGAAGAGCAGAGAGCTGGAGACTGACAGTCATGGCTTTCTGCTACGAGAAGAAAGGGACAATTGAGCAGTCAGCAGTGTTTGATTGCTCAGTTCTCAGTGCAGAGCCGATGGGGAACAGATGCAGCATTGGATCTATGCTGCATCCACATAAGTGAGTATAAATGGTTTTTTTTTTTTATTCTATGCTTCTCTTTTAAGCTTTCTTATTCCTATTACCTTTTCACTTTCTTCCTAGCAGTGGAACACCTAGCATAGCTGTCACCAGGGTAGACTATTTTTTTTAACATGTCCCCCCCCCCCCCCCCATACATCAAAAATATTTTTAGTAATAATCATGAAATTAAACATTACACTTACTGGCAGCAATTGTAACTATGACTGAAACTTTATGTAGAAATACTGAAGTTAGCATATTAATCCATCTCATGTTCTGAAGCTCAGAGATGCTATCACATGTGGAAACAGTTAGAAGGCACACCTTGAAAAAATAAAGAAGAAAAATTAGCACCTGGAGGCATAGCCAATAAAGAGGATGGTAATTTACAGTGTATGGCTTGTAGTAAGCCCAATCATTTGTGTCAGTGGCGGTTTGGGTAGTCAGAGGCAAGCTTCGGGTTTGGTTCAACCAAGAGTTCAACCCAAATCTATCCTGTTCTTAGTTTAATGAATAGGCAGGGGTGGATTGACAACTCATGGGGCCCCCGGGCAATAGAGGGTCATGGGGCCCCTGTGTCCTTGCCCAAACTCAAAAAAGCCTATGAAAAAGATACCAGGGGCATCTCATGGGGCCCCCTACTGACCCCGGGCCCTCGGGCAGTACCTGAGTTTCCAAATTGTCAGTCCGCCCCTGTGAATAGGTAAGCAAAGTGGCCAGCAGCGGTACCACTCCTGCTACTAAATGACCGCATTTCTCTAACTTGTTTCAAATTGTAAACAAGAAAATTACGGGCAACAGGTGGGGGATCCTCATGAATGCCATTAACCAAATATAGTCATGACCGTATCTGGTCAGTGACAGCTTCTTGGCCAGCTGTTGAATGTAAATAAATAATTCTAGGAGCTGTCATTTGTGACAGGAGTAGGGGCAGGAGAGGTTCATTGTGGTGTGGGTCATTGGGGTGTTGCTCAGCCTGACTAAAATTGCATTATTGTCTATGAAAGCTGGATGACGTAATTGATGTTACAGTTATATAAGGAGTCAATGTCTTTATTTAAATAATTCATTAATTAAGAATTTTTTTTTATGATCTGTGTCTTATTTACTATTTAATTTTATATTGTGAATCAGTAAGGACTGTGTACTCCTTGCTTATTCATATGGGGGGTGGATATCTGGGGGTTTAGTTTTTTTAAAGGGGGCTTACAGATTTTGATAAGTCCTCTCTCACAGACCCCCACATCCACTGAGCCAGGGATGTGGGAATGCAACCCTTGTCCCAATCAACATGGGTACATAGTTCCTTGCAGGGAAAGGCTTTGCACCTCATCCCCCAGGGTACCATCCAAATTTTAAGGTCATGTGGCCTCCTCACGATTAAAACTCTGCCGTTAATCCAATGTGGCCAGGACTATGGTTTGGTTCAGAAGGGAGGTTGCATGTTTTTTATCCTGCTTTTCCTGGCCAATCAGGCTGCATGCCTGGATGAGAGTCTGGTATGAATTTTAGGGGGGCGCAGCATTGGATTAGGGTCAGGGTTTTGATCATGAGGAGGCCCCCATACCATTTTCAACAAAGAGAAAAATCCAGCAGAGAGCTGTCATTTAGCAGCAGTATTTTTTTTAAATGTCACTTTTGCAGAAGTACATCATACTGGTGCACAGCTTCATGTGCAGGTTTAAGGCATACCCCAAGTATGTTATTGAACGGATGCATGTATTTTTATTTTTGCCCTTTAAGTC